GGATGGAATAAGTTTTCATTGTTTATTGAACGAAGGTCTATTGTTATTTGGTATCCCTCTCATTCCTTTTTAAACGGCAAAGTGTTATTTACAGCCTAAGACTTGTGCAACACTTAAGCACTTTTGTTGGAATACCGTAAAGTTTGCATTGCTGGAGAAGCTCAAAGGTCATTTATCTTGGTGTGGGATTTCTTCTGATCTCTCATGACCCGCTTATATTTTTACTGAAATCGAAGAAAATTTTCCCATTTGACTTATTATATACAGAGGAACAAACTTCCTTTCTTTGGCATTTATTATTCAACGTTTACTATTATAATTTGTAGATTCATTTTTCACTGCTCACAACTATTCCTTCCTGAGTATTTGGGAAGTGATTTTACTGTGTTGAGGCGAATGCTGAAGGCAGTTAGTAGAGTTCCCAGTGAATTATTTCAAGTCATTGTCAATATCTTGGTGGCTAGACATTGACAGACCTACAAACTCCTGTCAAGTATTATCTTATCCTACTGATGTTAACCATCCTCTACCCTACATTCACAGCTTTCTCCTTTTACATCTTTCGATAGAACGAGACGTCAGTACACTAGAATCTATGAACTTCATGCAAAAGTATCAAAAAGCTTTACAATAGGTTATTTAGTAAGTATACTTACTATACAATGAATGAACATGTGATCAGAGTTGAGTTGTCATCAATCAAACTCATCGACCTATGCTTAACAACGTATCTTCAGTTCAACAACAGAGTCTACGAACAAATAAAAGGAACACCAATGGGATCACCAATATCAGGACTCATCGCCGAAGCGGTAATGCAGAGACTGGAAGCGTCGATTCTGCCAGTGATCAAGCCAAAATTGTGGGTTCGCTATGTAGACGACACATTCGTTATTGTCAAAAGGAATGAGCTGGAGAAAATCTACAATCAGATCAGCAACGTCTTTGAGGACATCAAATTCACGATGGAAAAGGAATCAAACAACAGCCTATCATTCCTGGATGTACTAATCACCAGAACTAACACAGGAAAACTAGAAACTCAAGTATTTCGGAAGCCAACCCACACCGACGTAATTCTCAACTACGACAGCAACAACCCAAGAACCCACAAGATTAACTGCATACAAACTTTGTTCAAAAGAGCGAAGACACACTGCAGCACATATGAAACATTAAAAAACGAGGAACAACACCTGATGACTATCTTCCAAAAGAACGGCTATCCACGCAACTTCATCAAAAAACATCGACCAAAACCATCATCAGAAGTGAAATCAAGCACAGGAACAAATAAACGCATCATCCTACCATACATCAAAGACATATCGGAACATACGGCACGACTACTGAAACCATTTGGAATAGGTGTGGCACACAAACCAACAGAATCACTTCAGTCAATCCTATGTAGACCAAAGGACGAAATGACAAAGGAAGAAAAACCAAAGAGCACCACCAAAATAAACTGCTCAAACTGTGAAAAACACTACATAGGACAAAGTGGACGACCTCTTCATCTCCGTTTACGTGAACATCAATTAGCAGTCAAACGCCACGACAACGCTTCGCTTATCTCAATACATACCGACAACTATGGACACACATTTGATTGGAACAACGTGGAAATACTGGGTAGGGGGAGGACAAAGAACACTAGGGAATTTTTAGAAGCTTGGCACTCAGGTCAATTAGCAATCAACAAACACATCGACATTAACCCAATTTGTCAACCAATCAGGAGAATCATAGGTGACACTGGATCAAGAAACAGATCAAAAGAGGGAGGCAATCAAAACATAGTTGCAAACAACGACAGGTCAAAGGTCAACAACAACCAATCAAGATCGAGGTTAGCAGAACAAGCTACAGGTCAAACGTGGAGAAATTCTAATGCTTCACTTCTATCTGAAGTTCGTGCTGATGATGTTGTTCAGAAGAACAATGAAAGCTCCACAACCAAAACAACCAGCTCAGAGAACGAAACACCACCACAATCATCCACCTGAGCTACAAGTTTTCTCCACTATCTCAAAATCAAAAAAACAACTCAAATAATTTAATTATTTAGATTCTTAATGTATATTGTTTGTTGATAAATAAACTTGTTGGAATATTTTTGTCGGTGACAATTCAATATTTTTACTAAACATTTAACGTTGAATAAAACTGTCACTAATAATAATAATGGTAACATTAATAAAACAATTGACAAGATAAAAAATACAGCACAGAACAGAAATGAGAACAGTGATTGTCTACTTAGAAAAAAGACATTATAGAAAAGGGGAATAAGTAGGAGAAGCAAGAAATAGGAGTATGATAAATTTACGAAGTGGATGCATCGTTCGTGAATATAACTACCTGAAGAATTCCTGACAACTACTTGTCAATTGGATGATATGGTGAGTTATTCATAATCATCATACAACATGTATGTATGTATTTTTAGAAGACAATATAACTGTTAAAACAGTTCTACTGTATGGGGCAGAAACTCAGAAAACTAACCACCAAAGCCATCATCTGAAAGATACAAGTGCTTATTAACATTTGTCCACTAAAAATACTTCGGATTCTCTCGCCAGACACCATCAGCAACAACCTACTGCGGAAGAGAACAAATCAGATTCCAGCGTAGGAAGAAGAGCTAGAGGTGGATAGGACAGACATTGAGGAAAGCACCCAATTAGATCACAGAGTGGGCCCTCACTTGTACTCCTCAAGGTGAAAGGAAAACTGAGAGACCGTAGAACACATTACGCCAAGAATCGAAGACAGGCATGATAAAAATGAAAAAATAGTTGAACAAAGCTAGAAAGTCAGCTTGAGGCATGAATCGATTGAAGAATGCTCGTTGGTAACCTATGCTCCACTAAAGGTAACATGCGTAAGTGGATAAATATGTGAGTAAGTAATGAATTCCATCTCTCTAGGCATTTTTGACAAATTCGCATATCATAAACAATTCAAACTAAAATATCATCAATCCAATGCGACTGAACACACACACACACACATTGAACCTTAAATTGCTAAAAACACACACCTGTAGAGCATCAAAAACATTGAAACAATTTCTTTTCTATTTAGAAAAAAAACGAAGTTGGAATGCGCTACGGAAGCATTTAAACAAATAGTCATATGATATAGTTTTTAAAAATTCTTTACAGAAATATGAAATATATATATATATATATATATCACTGAACATTTGCAAAAGCGATTTAGTATACTTTTAATGTTTTACTAATTTACTGACTGAAAGCAACAAATCAGTACGTGTTCAGTTTATCATGTTTTATCATTGAGCTGAGATTTAAACGCTATGTAGTATCGATATCGAATAATTGTGGTGATGTTTCGTTCTCTCTGAGCTGGATGTTTTGGTTGTGGAGCATTCATCCTTGTTTTAGCACTGAACAACATCATCATCGGCACAACCTTCAGATAGAAGAAGTGAAGTATTGGAATTTCTCCACATTTGACTAGTAGCTTGGTCTGTTTAACCTCGATCTTGATTGGTTTCTGTTGACCATAAACCTGTCGTTGTTTGTACCTTTGTTTTGATCTGTTTCTTGATCGCATGTTTGTACATGATTTTTTTGATTGATTGATTAATTGGGTCAATGTCGATGTGTTCATTGATTGCTGATTGACCTGAGTGCCAAGCCTCTGAAAATTTTCTAGTGTTCTTTGTCCTCCTCTTATCCAGTATTTCCACACTATCCCAGTCGAATGTATGTTCATAATTGTCAGTATTTGTTGATATGAGCGAAGAATTGTCGTGGTGTTTAACTGGTAATTGGTGTTCATGTAAACGAAGCTGAAGAGACCGTTCACATTGTCCTATGTAGTGTTTTTCACAGTCTGAGCAATTTATTTTGTAGATGATATTTGATTTTTCTTCCTTTGTCATTTTGTCCTTCGGTGTCTACATAGGATTGATTGAAGTGATTCTGTTGGTTTGTGTGCCAGACCAATTGCAAATAGTCATTTTGTCGAATATTATTTCACTCCTGATTTGAAATTTCGAACACAACACACTCCTTTATTTGATTGACGATCAATATTATACAGTTACTACGAAACGTACGAGCACTGAACGACCGTTTCGTGCAGGAATGAATCTGATCAGCAGTGTGTATCTGCTTATCGAACCCAAGACCTTCGATCTTGTGTGTGAATGCTTAAGCTATAACTATGACTAAGTTATTTACTAGTAGTGATGCAATCCTTTCTGAATTCAATACCGGGAACATTCGTGAATACTTTTTTTAACTAGTGTGCAGAATACAGTTACTACTGATTATCACAGAAATGCGATGCACATATTTTCAGGGCTGTTTTCGCAAAAATTGTGATATATATACTGGAATAATTTAGTAAAAAATATCAATGCAGAAGCGAGTTATTTTTCAACGGGATGTGGTGGCTAACCAGTATGCCCGGACCTTTACCTTCATCCGGGCTGCGGACCTTCAGTAACCCCAGAGGGACTTCAAGTGGTGTTCGACTGGATTAATAAGACGTCCACATCTGAGTGTAGGCAGCTGTTTATTAACAGTTGTCTAAGCAAAATACTTCGGTTTCGTTGGCCGGACACCATCAACAATAACCTACTGCGGGAGAGAACAAATCAGATTCTAGCGGAGAAGGAAATCAGGAAGAAGCGCTGGAAGCAAAAAGGACACACACTGCGAAAAGCATCCAACTGCCTCGCAAGACAAGCTCTCTCTCAAGGACAAAGGAAAAATTGGAAGATGAAAAAACACAGTACACCAAGAATTAGAGAAAGACATGAGAAGAATGAACATAAACTGGAAAGAACTGCATGGTAGTACACCTAGGACAGGGCAGGTCGGAGAATGCTGGTAGGTGACCTACATTACATTGACTGTAATGGGCGTAAGGAAACAGTAAAAAAATCGTTAATTTCCAGTCTTCCCCTTTTTTTTACAAATATCTTAGTTGATTAATCTCAAAGGCAAAATAATCAATAATGTTCATATATACTTTTATTGTTGATAATGTTATACTGTGTTTTGTTTTTTGGTTGTTTTGTTGGTTTTATGCTGATAATTAACAATTAAAACAAGTGAAAATGTGTACAGCTCATTTTCCCGCCATTTTCTTTTTCAAAAAAAAACAAAATAAAAATGTAAGAAAAGCCAAAATTGATGAATGAGCCATTAAAAAAAACAAAACGATGAGTTAGTTATTTTTTTGTTATTATTCCTCGTAATCACAAATGATTCTCAGCATCCATGAATGAATTTTTATTCAATAAAGAAAGCATTATTTTATGATTGAAATTAAAATTATGCCGCCATACCAAGGCCATCATCGGATTTACGAAGCATCCACATTGAAATACCCAAATAAACACCTTGAAGAATTGCTGTTACAAGACAAAGAGCTATCAATGCATTGACATTTTGTTGAGCATATTCAATTACTTCTTGTATACAACCCTGAAAAAAAGTAGAAATGAGTAGTAGTAGGAAAGGGATGTTCAAATTAGCTGATGATATCATTCAGTATTTGATCTGTTTTAATCTTTCATCCAGTATTCAGATTGGTTAGGAGGACAACATGGGATGAAGTTGCGCGGTAGAGTTATTTCTCAGTCAAAGTAGATCACTTACTTCCTAACCAACTAACTAACTAACTAACTAACTAACTAACTAACTAACTAACTAACTTACTTACTTACTTACTTACTTACTTACTTACTTACTTACTTACTTACTTACTTACTTACTTACTTACTTACTTACTTACTCACTTACTTACTTACTGTACACCTGTTACTCTCAATGGGACACATAACATAGAATTGTAATTTCTATAGAAAACATTCTGATTAGTTTGGTCTCGTTTGCTGTTACGGGTCTGAGAACGTATGATGTCACTTCTCGGCTCCTCACACCGTGGAAGAGTGTTTTTGATGAAGCTGAAAAGGAAATTGAATTAGTGTTGGTCTAAGCGACCTGGGAACGTGGCCGCAGAGCCCAAGGGACAAATGCTTAAGGCCGGTCACGAACGGCTTTTTTTTAGTATATTGACGTGTGTCAGCTCGGCTCTTCAAATGACCCAACCGCCGGAGATGTAAACCTAAGGGGTAAGGCAATATGTGACATTTTTAGGGTCCATCATTTCTAAATCCTTTGTTTCTTGTGAGAAGGCAGTATCGCTACAGATGCTTTTTTTCGGAGAGAAACACTTAACTGGTGTCACATCCGTTTACAGTCAGCCGTATGAATTCGCCCTGAAACCTTCTTGGCATGGTAAAACTTACAGGAATATATGTTCCAGTCACTACTATACCTTGGTGAAGTGATCAAGAAAGGCAAGCCCAACCAGCACATAAAGGTAACCTCTACGGTTCGGTACAGAAAATGCACATTTTACATTCAATTCATTTTTGTATCATCTAACTCAGAAAGATACATTAATTTTTTAAGCATACCAGCACACTGATTTATGCGTAACAGGTTTTTATTATATAAACAAAGATATTTAATCTGTCTATCGATTAGACTGTCTTCCTTTTTTGAAAAAAATGTCTGGAACAACAATATACTTATAAATAACTTATTACAACACTTAGTTAGGATTAAAATTATGATTTTAATATTTTTTTTAAAACAGTTGGTTGTTCAAATTATTACATAGAGAATGTGCAGGATCTGCCTAACTTAACCGTAATAGTTTCTAACCGCTTCCCTAAACTGACTGCTTGGGGTAGGGTTGGAAATGACTACCGAAACGTATACATAAATACTCAACCATATGTATGCATATATATATATGTCTTCCCCTCAGAAAGTGAGTCCATTTCTTGATCAATGAAATTTATTCGCTTATTAGGACATTTTTTATTGGTCATCAAATCACCTTCTTTCATTTGGCCACTCCTGATTGGCTCACCTTATCAATAATGTACATGGAATGATTGTCAAATGTTGAGTTTTACTGTTTATTGTAATTTATTCAATTATGATGAGTCTGTTATTTATATAACATCAAGGGTTTTCGACGCCTTCTCTCATCGATTTCATATAAGATTTAAATAAACATGGTATTTCACGATATAAATTAACACAAGTCCCAGAAAGAAAATCTGGGTAGTAAGTTAACATTCTGAATCAATTATAGAGTTATGGAGATGGTTGCGTTTCGTTTGAAATCATGAATCGATGGATGTAAGACCACTATTAGAAACTTGGAAGCACTAGATTGTTGTTTCATCTAAGTAAGGGACTCATCGACAGTACGCATCCTAGACTTCGGCTGGTGAGGATTGGACTCATGACCTATTGTTTCGCTTATAAATGCTCAACCTTGCGGTTGAACAATGATCGGTTTACGATTTCAAAGGATACACCACAATCTCCATGACTCTATAATGAAAAATCATAAAAATATGCTCACTAATAGCTAGTTCTGTGAGGAAATTCTTGCAGTCCTAGTGTATAACCGTGAGCAGTGGAGTTCAACCCTATTTAGTATAGGCAGTTACTAACTGAAGACAATGGCTGACGTTGCGCAAGACCGAGAATTGATTTAATTTAGACATTAACTTGGTCGGATGACGCCTAACGGCCTAGTGGTTAAGAATTCGTTCACGAGACCGAAGTTCCTAGGTTCAATTCTGGAGTATCATGGGTATCGTGGATGCGCACTATTGTCGAAAGTCCCGTTTTCCGACGAAACGGCCATCCAGTACTACCAAATTTCTAATATTGGTCTAACAATGATTCACTCATTATTTGAAATCAGTTCTATTTTAAGCGTTGAACAGTGACTGTGTCCAACAAATAAAGGAGTAAAAATGTTTGTAGTGGTGTTTTGTTCTCTGAGCTTGTTTTGCTACAAGCTACAGGTCAAACGTGGAGAAATTCGAATACTTCACTTGTTCTATCTGAAGGTTGTGCCGACGATGATGTTGTTCAATAGCAGAATAATGAAAGCTCTGCAACCAAAACATTTAGCTCAGAGAACGAAACACCACCACAATCATCCACCTGAGCTACAAATTTTCTCCACTATCTCAGAATAAAAATGTAAAGTGAATTTACTCTATCAAATTAGCATAAGGTTTACGATTGTTTTAATTCCTTTTGTACATTGGTAACATTTCACGAACTAAAATATGAGAGTTGATTTCAGTTACTAATAATCTCATTCCGACATGCTCTGGTACAATCCCGTGGAGTCAGGGCTTAAAAGAGAAACATGGGTACAGAGGATCAAACCGATAAAAATTAAAAAACTCAACATTACCTCCACAGCCATGTGGATTAGACCGGTGAGGTTAAAAACTCAGGGAATGTTGCCCTAATAAAAGCATCGGCTTTGGTTTTGGCGGCTGTTCAATACATTGGATATTGTATATTAGTTGACTTTATCTAACATACAAATAGAGTAGTAATTCACTGATACATTCCATTACGTAATCGGAAAACTAAGTTCACAAAATGTGCAGTTCATCATCCTTATAGTTAGTCGATAACTAATACCGAATCATAAGCATTGTGATAATTAGATCGTAACAGTATAATTATTATCTTATTATCAATGTCATATGGAGTAAGTTACATAAAAAAATTATTCGTACACTTTATGAATATTCCAAAGCATACTACTTTAGTGAGTGATAGGTGATTTCAGTGCATAAAAACAATGATCTCCGAAAAGTCTAATTGAAAACTCGTATACTGTTCTCACTAATGACTAGCTTCTTGAGGAAATTTTCAGAGTTTTAGTGAGAATACGTGACCAGTGGAGTTCAGCATTGTCGGGTGTAGGCAGTAACTCTCGAAGACAAATAGGTCAGGTAGCACAAAATCTCTAGATTTATCAGAGTTAGACATTAAAAACTTCGGGTGCCAGCCCATTGGTCCAGAGGTTAGGCGTTCGCGCTCAAGACCGGTAGTCCTAGGTTCAAATCCTGTGACTAGCAGGAGTGGTGCGTGTGCACTGCTGATGAGTCCTGTACTAGGACGAAACGGCCATCCGATACTTACAAGTCCTGATTCAGGACTTCAATGTGCATACTAATTATCAGTGAAAATAATCAGATCTCGAAATATAAAACAATGATTTGAAAATTTGTGCATAAACGTAGAAATGAATATTGATAAGAAATCTCATCTTTTGAACAATGATTTTACTTGTGATGTACTTTTAGACAGACTAAAAAACAAATTTTAGCACAAATAACCTCTATTCATCACTTTCTAGCTGAGTTATCGCAATTCTCCAACTGAACGATAACATACTTTAATTATCAGTTGCTTAACTTCTCCTGGAGACCCTCTGGTGTTAATGTCGGTCCGAAGACCAGATATAAGGAGAACTGTTTGGACATTAGATTAACAACCCCTTCCTAGAGAAAACTAACTCGTTAAAGAAATGCTAACCAGAAAAATCTTAGCGTAGTAATTTGTGTTAGAACAACACAGATATAAGCAAAACAAAAGTGTTGTTTTCGATTAGATCGTCGTCAGTCTTTACTCTCTCTAATATACATGAATATTTTTTAATGAAATTGTTAAACCGATCAAGGCAATTTGAACCAGTAATCACAATGAAATGAAATAGATTACGTCACTAAACATAATAGGTGGAAAATTACACATTGTCAAGATTATTTCAAGTCTATTTATCCATCCATGTATGACCTACCATCTCCAACGTTGAACTATTGATAAAACTTTTGTTATCGTATTTTATGTTTCTCTTACTACTACTATCAGTGCACTTCTGTCTTCCTACTATCAACTTGTAGTAACGTAATCTTTGTCATTTTATTGTGATTATTGACTCGAACTGCCTTGACTGGTTTAACAGTTTCATATAAAAATATTCATGCCTATATATGAGAGAGTAAAGCAGCCTGATCTAATCGAAAACAACACTGTTGTTCGCTTATTATTTGTGTTGTTCTAATTTCCACAATGAAAATCTTTACTTCGTATTAGTATCATAGTAAATGAGAAGGAGAGCCCAGGGTGAAGTACCTATCTGTCTTTATATATATATATATATGCTTTAAGGGGTTACAAGAGTAAATAATGGGAGTTTAACATGAATTATCGACTTACTCTTGCATAAGTTAATTCACCAACTCTACACGATGGTGGTATTTTCATATTAAATTTCGGATAATCTTTGTATGAAATAGCTCCACAACAATAAAACTAAAATAAATAAATGAGAAATAAGATTTACTCAAACTAATAATAGCAACACTTACAGATACCTGCAGCTTATCAAATTGTCCTCCATATTCCGTTTGATTATAATTTGAAACTGAACTGTATAACATTTCTTGAACATCAGTATTAAACTTTAAAGAGTAGGAGAAGAAGAAGAAGAAGAGTAAAGAAAAATTGTTTTTATAGAAACTCACTTTCTCTTTTGTAGCGATTGCAGCAAAAGCAATACAAACATTGACAAGGGTTACAATGCCCAAACCGATCATATGCTAAAAAATAAGTGATATTGATCGATAATTTCCACAAAAAAATGACAATTTACTGCCAAAGCAATATAATTCTTTTTCTTCCATAATCCAATCAAACCAATCACGGCTGCAATGATCCCCACTAGTCCAGTGAATATCACAGTTCCATAAATGGCAGGCAAGGGTACATTCATTATAATGCCATATTTCATTAAAGTAGTCAATGCACTAAGACCAATTGCAAATAGGATGAAATTGAACACCTTTACATATATGGTAGTTTACATACTTATGTGTATAATTATATAACTTACCACAAATAAACTATTGACTACAATAAATATTTTTGTCCATAATTCTGGTGTCAATGAAACTTTCGGCAACATTTTTCGACAACGAGTTCAGTTATCGAAATTCAGTTATCCAAATTTGTGGATGATAAGAATGATAAGAATAGTGAGTGATTGATAGAATGAATGTTAGAATAAGCGTTAATCAAATTAAATTTTATGTGGAAATGGTATTAATATAGTAAAATTTCGTGTTTCTGCACTCTTTTTCTTTCGTTTGTGTATGTGTGTGTGTAAGAGAGAGAGAGAGAGAGAATAAACTACGCACAAGAGACAATAGGATAAGTACTGCACAATTCAACTATTTTTATCCGACTAATTCTGATACATATATATGCATAGATTGTATGTTTATTGACAATTGAACAAAAATGAATCAAAATTTTGTTTCATTGTTGTTTATTCGACACATTAAAAATCAATGTGTTACTATTCACGTATTATAGATAGATAGATGGATGTATCGCCTTATCTGTTGATTAAATATATATATATGTACACGTCAATCAGACGTAATTAACTTTTAATGAGTTAGTTAGTTAGTGAGTTAGTTATGCATTTTGAAGCAAATTGAATCATGTCTGTAAGGGAAACATGTGATTGTTAAAAATGAAACTAAATATTCTTGTTTTTTTTTCTTATGTGTATTTTTAAATGCATCGAATTCTTTCTACAATTCAAACACACACAACTATATAGCAATGTTAAAATAGGAATTATCAATATGAGTGTCAAAATATATTTCTAGGGTATGATGAAGTGACAGCTTGGAGAAAGTCATGAAAATCATGATCCGCTAGATAGTGAGTAGTGTTGTCTACATGAGATACTGAGGATCTATCATTGGCTAGTTAGACATTATCAGTAATAACCTACTGTAGGAGAGAATAGAAAAGATTCCAACTGAGGAAGAAATTAGGAAGAGGCGATGAACGTGGATAGGGTACAGATTACGGAAACCACATGACTGCTTCGCAAGACAAGCCCTCACTTGGAATCCTCAAGGATACAAGAAATTTGGTAGACTGAGGAATAAAATGAGTCAAGCACTGAAGTTAGACATGAAAAGAATGAACTGAAATTGGTTAGAACTGGAAATCAAGGCAGAGGACAATGCCGGATGCAGAATGCCGGTTGATGGCTTATACAACTTTAGGAGTAAGAGATGCTTTTGGTGGTATTTTATTTTCTGAGCTAGATGTTTTGGTTGTGGAGCTTTCATTGTTATTCTGAACAACAATAACATCATCAGCACCAACTTCAGCGAGAACTGAAATGAAATTTTCAAATTTCTCCACGTATGTTGTGGAGTTCAGTTAATCTCGATCTTGATCGGTTGTTCTCGGCCTTAAACCTGTCGTTGTTTGCGTCATCAGACAGAAGTTGTGCTGATGATGTTGTTCAGTAGAAGAACAAAGAAAGCTCCGCAACTGAAATATCCAGCTGACAGAACGAAACGCCACCACAATTGTCTACCTGAGTAAGTTTATTCTCTAAAAATCTGAAATTTTCTCAATAAACGTTAACTAGTTAATAGCAAGTTCTTTTCCAAAGGGCGGGTGTACTGCGCAGCAGTTTGCTGCGTTCTCCTTTACGGATGCGAAACATGGCCGTTAAGAGTAGAAGATGTTCGTAGGTTACTAGTATTCGATCATAGATGTTTAAGAAGCATTGCTCGTATATCCTAGGAAACCCGAGTGAGCAACGCTGTTATTAGGAAACGGGTACTAGGTAAGAATGGCAGATCAATCGATGAAGTGGCGAAACTTCATCAGTTGAGGTGGTTGGGACATGTGTTACGTATGTCTAACCACTAACTGCCTCGACGAGCTATGTTTTGTGGTGTAGGAGTAGGTTGGAAGAAAGCTAGGGGCGGCCAGACCAAAACATGGCAGAAATCCATGAAGTCATTGACGAGTGGACTTAACCATGTCGGTAGTTGTCGACTACCTGGTTGGGGTCTGCGAAACGAAAGTTAAGGTCACCAATGACAGAGCTCAAAATCGTTTGCAATGGCGCCAGTGCATCCATTCGTTGTGCTCTCTCAAATCCTAATCTTCTGGATTCCTTAACACCTCTAGTTTTGTCTTTCTAACCTCATCTCTCTGAATTATACTTCTTGAATATCTTCAAACCCTAGTCTTTTTCATTACCATTAATACTTCTACTATCTCTATCACTATGGGATTTGATTTGACATTTGCATCTCTGTGCAACCTGAACTTATGTACATACATACGAAGTTCTATGTTGCAACTGACTGACTGATCAAGTTCTTTTCAATGTTTAGTTACCAATGTAACGTTATTCATAGATGATAATAAACTAAATTTAAGCTCATTTCAACTGAATTTTCAAATAATCTCATGAAAAATTTTGAAATCTGAAATACATAGGTTCAGTTTGAAGCGTATTCATTGGTGATGATGCATCTTATAACGATTACCTTGATATAGCCATTATGATACACGTAAATGTAAATACAAGTGGAATCCAGAATGCATGGTTTGTCTTATTTGAGACTTATCTTCGGCTGGATGTACGCGAACGTCATAGTAGATGTTTACTCCATTGTCGTTTGCTTCAAACACCATTGCGTTGTTAATTCTATATAAACTTTAGTCATATTGGCTGTATCGAGGTAATCGTTATAAGATGTATAATCACCAACGAACACTAATCGAATTTCCGTCAACATTTCAAGAATGAAATAAATCTCAAACTCATCTGGTCCGTTTGGACTAAGTAGCTAAGTGAATAACTTAATGACATTTGAATTTAACAGTACCAAGTTCAAATCTCGGTGTAAACGTCAACTTTGAGAAACAGGTACATACAGACGAAGCCATGTCCCGAGTAAGACGAAACGCGCATCCTGGATTCCAATGTTCGTCTCAGGCAATCGATAATGATCATGAAATATGACAAGATCACTGAAGTTGGAAATATGAACACGCATACACCAACACAATCATAGAGGATTGGTAGATTTAATTCAAGGTCTAGAATTTTCCCTTCATTTTCATCCAGAGTGAGATAATTACTACACAATGTTTCAGAGTAATAGTATGTGTACTCAAATCGATGTACAATTTTCTACAAGAGAGCTTTGTAGTGCGTGTACTTTTATGGAGAGCACACAGGGCATATTACGTGACTTCGATGCTGCCCGAGTTACTATTCATTCGTCTTTCGACCATGTTAACTATTCCCTTTTATCTTGCTCGTTTCAATTACAGTATGTTAATGCATCGATTACGTCACTTTTTACTTGTTAAGCTTATTTTGTCTAAGAAGACGACTCGTGATTTATCTCATGGAGGTGACTCCTTGACCTTCTCCACTTTTTGTTGCTTAACTTTGTTTTCACGCTTCGTATTCACATGTCTGTTTACATGAACAATCGATCAATTAAATTTAGACTTTGCCAATAGTTTTACATGTCACTAATATAAACAAGTCGACAAAGAATATATGTTATATATATATATATATATCGAATCGGTTCCATATGAATTTATTAGCGAAAATCAGAATTTTACATGGTTTCTTTAAAGTTCACCTGGAACCTGTCTGGGCCTACTACATGATATCGCAGGAGGTTTGAATGTCGGGTTAGTGACTGCATCTTGTAGAAAACTAACTCACGACTGTATCCGCAAAAAGAAACTGTTTCTTTACAGCTGGAACAAAGAACACTTAAAACGACCTATTGTTTTTGTTAGGAATACAATACTTTTACTGTCGGGGACATTAGATCCCCAAAACTCACTTGGGAAAAGTTTTAATTTTGGAATATTTTGTGTTTCTGCGCAAATGCTACTCAGTTGACCCTGGGATTATGTTTCCTACCCGGAAAATCCTTGACTGTCATTGGCTGATTGATTATTTTAGTCAGCTATGTTTGTTGCTCTCCCAGGGGCGTTTCTATCATAGTATAAATAAGCTCGATTTGTGTGCTTGTTAACCTCATATTTTCACAGAGTACACTTTCTACGTCTTGTCAATAGTTCTTTCTCTACTTAGTGGGGCCTTAGGACGTTCGGATTACAGTAGCCTATTGTGTCACTGTATCATTTATCTTCGCTCTCGTTTACCGAGAAGTAAGATGAACTCGTGATAGTTTCAAGCATATCTAGTTGATCACCGTAACCAAAATCATACATTTAAACGAAGAATTCTTTAACCTAGTTATAGTTGTATTTGATAACTTTGATGTTGAACGATATGATATATATTTCGATTGAATTACCGATCAAATGATTGGATTCACTTAGAATTCAATCTCAGTGACGCACAATGTGATAGATTTCCGAAAAGCAGAAATTACCAACTACTACTAACATAATCTATGTGGCTTAAATAGGAAATAATCTGCTAACTCACGTAAGAATTCTTGATAAGTCGTAGAAAAGTGTATTCTAAAAGCACCCAGAAAATACGAGGTCACAAGCAAACAGATCGAGCTTATTTATACAATGATAGTAACGTCCTTAGGAGAGCCACCAAATAGCGTACTAAAATAATCCGTCAACCAATGACTGTCAAGGATTTTCCGGGTGGGAAATGTAATCTCAAGGTCGACCGATCAGCCCAAGCGCGAAAACATATAAAAATCTAAAATTAGGACATTTTCCAAGTGAGTTTTGGGGATCTAACGTGCCCAACATATGTACTTTTTATCTTGATAGAATCATTTTTCTACTGAAAAAATACTAAGAAATTCTACATGCTGTTATATCATCAAAATATGAGTTTATCAGTATAATAATAATAATTTGGTTCAATCCTAAAAATAGGTTTTCTTCCATCTTATAACAAGTTCCTCTTTCTTGATTGTCTCAATTCTATGTGAAAAAGGTTTTCGTGAAATGTTCACCTCAAACGAGTAATGAAAAGTGTAAGCTTCTAATCACCTTTATCTTTTTATGTTTAACTTTATTTCATTGAATTATACTCCTTGAATAATATCTACGAACCCCAATCTTCTCCATTGCATCTAATACTTCCGATACCTGTACCACTATGGGATTTGAATCAACAATTGCATGTCTGTGTGGTAATGTGGTATGGCAACTTGGACTGATGCACGTATGTACACACGAAGTTCTACGTTGTTGCTGACTGACTGACTGACTGAACTAAGGAATGAATGAAATGTGTTGGAAGCATACAGTATGGAGGTGAATAGAAGAACACACTTGAGGTTTACAATAGATTGCACATTTACACGAAATTATTATAGTTCAATTTGAATTCTTAAGTTGACATTTATTTTTGGAACTGAAATTACATAATTACTCATTTGCTATCGAGGGTATATAGGCGGATGCTACTTCCCGGCTGCTCACACCATGGTAGGGTGGGTATTTGTTTCAGGAACCCGAAAGGGAGCTGAATTTGTGTTGGTTTAAGCGACCTGAGAGTGTGACTACAGAGCTCATAGGGGACAAATGCTTGAAGCCGGTCACTTACGGCGTTATTATGGGAAGTTTTCAACGTCTTTACTTGGCTCTTCAAACGGCCTTAGAGACGGAGACTGAAATCCGTAGGATAAGGTGAGGTGTGACATTTTTATGGTCAACCTTATCTAACGCTTTCCTTCTGTTGTGAGAAGGCAGCATAGCTGCATAATTTTTAAAATTTATTTCACTTCTCGAATCTTATTTTCGATCCTTAATCTTTTCCATTACCGCTGATAGTACAACAACTTATACGTCTATGGGATTTGAATTGACAGTCCGATCTCTCTGTGCTAATGTTGTATGGCAACTGGAACTGATATTCATCCTTACCAAGTTCTAAATTGTTTATAAATGACTGAAGTAAATACTGTTCTTCATACTAAGAAATGTCAAGGTAGCTCATTGACAACTTAAATTTTTTGCACAAATTTATAGTCAAAGACATATTTTTCTATTTACAGTAGAGGGTTGTGAATAATGTTGAGTTTTATTGAAATCATGAACTGATCATTGTTGAACAATCAGGGGAACCCTGGAATCACTGGGTGGCCAGCTTCCGGCTCAAGGTCAGCAATGCTAGTCAGGGCATATATTTATTCAGGTGATAAACATTACGCGACAGATTAGATCGAAGACCAAATTAAAAACGGGATTCTGATCAATAGCTTGTCAAGTGATGTTCGTCCGCGACTACAAGACAAGACAGTGAGGATGATTCTACCAATAAATTACATTTTCTCAACACCTTATTAACGAGCAGAAAAGAAAGGCTGACAGGCAGAAAATGTGGCGGAACATATTTACGAACAGTCAAATATGCTATGAACTAAATTTCCCTTTCAGTCTCCGTATATAATTAGGAGCCAAATACAGATTCGGTTGAATGAGTTTTTCTTGCAGACAGACATATGAATACGAAGCGTGAAAACAAAGTGAATTAAAGAAAAGTTGATAAGGTCAACCAGCTAACTCCATGAGATAAATCATAACTTGTATTTGTAGTCAGACAAAATAAGCTACGTAAGCGACGTAATTGGCGCACACACATACCGTAATTGAAACAAGCAAGATGAAAGGGAATAGTTGACGTGGTCGAAAGGAGAGTGAATAGTAACTCGGACAGAATCGATTAGTTAATTTTTCCGAAGGTATGGGTCATGTCCTGTGAGCTATTCATAAAAGTACACGCACTACAAATCTTCCTTGTAGAAAAAATTGTACATTATTTTTGGGTACACATACTACAACTCTAAAATATTGTGTAGTTATTATTTCACTATGGATGAGATTGAAGAGAAAATTCTAGACTTTGAATAGTTGGAACAAGCTCTGTGGGCTCGACATGGAAGTACTGTACCACATGTTTGATAAAACAAGCTGATGATCTATAGTTTTAAAAGCTCTTCTAGATACTTATAAATTCATTAAACTGGTCAGTGGCATATTTAAATCTCGCCCATAATCAATACTCAATAAACTCTTTCCAATCCTACCTTTCAATCTATCTGGTCGAATATTTAACATCATATTACTTAAACTTAAACGTAATCTATAAAAATTTCTTCGTTTTATATGAATTTGTGATGCATCAAAACAAAATTGGTTTATTGATCATTGAACGTATTTACTTTAAAAGCTCTTTCGCGCCATGCAAAAATTAGCGCGCACACACCAAAAAATTCACATTACATTTTCAAATTCAAAGAATAGGTTAAAATAACAATTACAGTGAAAAAATATTAATCATTTTGAATAGAATAACTGAATGTGATAATACTCTATTCTGTTTTCTTTTCTTCATGACATTCAATTGATCAATGTTGAATAGTTTTGGTGTTCAGTTATTCATTGTTTTCTGAAGATGTATTGATTGTTTGAATGGATTGACGAAGTTTGATAATGGATATCGCAATGAACAAAGCATAAACAACTGATGTGACAAAACACATTGAAATGAATAAAGTAATGTAATGTTGTACAAATTCACTTAATTCATCATAACAACCCTATGAAATCAATGCAGAAAGGAAGAGAGAATGAATTAAAATTTAAAGAAGAAGTTCATTGAATGCATGTCAGTCAGTCAGTCAGTCAGATGCAACGTAGAACTTCGTACGTAAGTACATCAGTTCATGTCGCCATATCACATCAGCACACAGATATAATTGTCAATTCAAATCCAATAGTAGAAGAGGTAGTTAAGGGAATTAGAAGTAATCGGAGAGGTTAGGATTAGAAGATATATTATTCAAGAAGTATGATTCAGTGAGAAAAGTTTAGAAAGTCAAAACTAGAGGTGTTGAAGAACCCAGAAGATTTGGATTTGAGAGAACACAAAGCATAAATGCACCGGCGCCATTGCGAACGATTTTGAGCCATGTCATTCAAGGTCTCTAACCACCGATTACTAACATCTCGCGGACCCCAATCAGGTAGTCGAACAAATCTCTACCCGACTCAATGGACCTCTTAAGCATGCCGAACTATCGTCAAGTGACACTTCAGGGATTTCTGACACCATCTGTGTTTTGGCTACTGCCCGCCCACTCAGCCATTGTCTCTACCACAATATTCATGAAACTACACTGCATCCGCCGACGAGCAAGACCGCTGAACATATCTCTCTGATTTCCTCCCCTACTCCAGAGTTACGGCTTAGTATGCCCTCCTAAAAGAGTATGACGATGGATTCACCAGCGCATATAGCACATCTACCTGTATACGTACTGATTAGCCGACAAGCCCCTGATCCTGCTCGGTGGAAGCCAGAAGCAAGCTCTAAGGGGTGGCCCCAGGACCAAAAACGATCCTGGCAGAAAATCTTCATCCACACCGCCCTTAATGAAAGGTCATTGTACGAGATGGTAGCGACTCTAGCCACTTGCGCTAGGCTGAATTGTAGAACTAACCTAGGATTAAGAGGGATCCGCCGAGATGTTAGCTAAAATCGAAGCTAGGAACGTTAGACAAAGAGACTCCTTGACTAGGGACAATCTGGACAACGACTCAAAAGTCGTTTCGCAATAGGACGCGGTGTAGCCCAGTTTAATTTGCCTTTCAGTTGTTCTCTCAATCCCAAATCTTCTGGTTCTTCAACACCTCTAGTGGACTTTCTAAACTCTTCTCATCTAATCTATAGCACTTCTATGATGCATACATACCTTCTATATCCCTAACGTACCTCTATCGCATCTACTTCTAGATACCCCCTTAGACTAGCCTCTTCTACTACTTTTTTTCTTTTTTTTTCTTTTTAATATTGATTCATCTGACAATTATATCTGTGCTAGCTGTGCCATGTCTGTGATATGGCGACATGAACTGATGTACTTACTACGAAGTTCTCACGTTCGGCAACTGACCTGACCTCGACCTGACTGAACAATGCACATTCAATTGAATCTTCTTATTCACTGTTTCTTATTCATATCTCTCTCCTTTAACATCTGAATGGATTTCATGAGGGTTTGTGTATGACGAATTCAATAGGAAAAGCTGGCTAGAATTTTGTCCAACAATTATACATTACTTTATTCATTTCAATGTGTTTTGTCACATCAGTTGTTTATGCTTTGTTCATTGCGATATCCATTATCAAACTTCGTCAATCCATTCAAACAATCAATACATCTTCAGAAAACAATGAATAACTGAACACCAAAACTATTCAACATTGATCAATTGAATGTCATGAAGAAAAGAAAACAGAATAGAGTATTATCACATTCAGTTATTCTATTCAAAATGATTAATATTTTTTCACTGTAATTGTTATTTTAACCTATTCTTTGAATTTGAAAATGTAATGTGAATTTTTTGGTGTGTGCGCGCTAATTTTTGCATGGCGCGAAAGAGCTTTTAAAGTAAATACGTTCAATGATCAATAAACCAATTTTGTTTTGATGCATCACAAATTCATATAAAACGAAGAAATTTTTATAGATTACGTTTAAGTTTAAGTAATATGATGTTAAATATTCGACCAGATAGATTGAAAGGTAGGATTGGAAAGAGTTTATTGAGTATTGATTATGGGCGAGATTTAAATATGCCACTGACCAGTTTAATGAATTTATAAGTATCTAGAAGAGCTTTTAAAACTATAGATCATCAGCTTGTTTTATCAAACATGTGGTACAGTACTTCCATGTCGAGCCCACAGAGCTTGTTCCAACTATTCAAAGTCTAGAATTTTCTCTTCAATTTTATCGATGGTGAAATAACAACTACACAAAATTTTAGAGTTGTAGTCTGTGTACCCAAAAATAATGTACAATTTTTTCTACAAGGAAGATTTGTAGTGCGTGTACTTTTATGAATAGCTCACAGGACATGACCCATACCTTCGGAAAAATTAACTAATCGATTCTGTTTGAGTTACTATTTACTCTTCTTTCGATCACGTCAACTATTCCCTTTTATCTTGGTTGTTTCAATTACGGTATGTGTGTGCGCCAATTACGTCGCTTACGTAGCTTATTTTGTCTGACTACAAATACAAGTTATGATTTATCTCATGGAGTTAGCTGGTTGACCTTATCAACTTTTCTTTAATTCACTCTGCTTTCACGTTTCGTATTCATATGTCTGTCTGCAAGAAAAACTCATTCAACCGAATCTGTATTTGGCTCCTAATTATATACAGAGACTGAAAGGGAAATTTAGTTCATAGCATATTTGACTGTTCGTAAATATGTTCCGCCACATTTTCTTCCTGTCAGCCTTTCTTTTCTGCTCATTAATAAGGTGTTGAGAAAATGTAATTTATTGGTAGAATCATCCTTACTGTTACGTCTTGTAGTCGCTGACGAACATCACTTGACAAGCTTTTACTCAGAATCCTGTTTTTAGTTTGGTCTTCGATCTAATCTGTCACGTAATGTTTATCACCTGAATAAATATATACCCTGACTGGCACTACAGGCCTTTTGAGCCTAGCAAGACTGCTTTACTAAGTATTCCAAATCCTTATGGAAAAAAGACCACCCCCCCAGTGATTCCAGGGTTCCCCCTGTTGTTCACAAAAAGTATACAGTCCATCGATTTCAATAAAATCGGAACCAGAATTATTCAACCCAATGCTTACCGTAAAGGAAAATATATCTTTGACTATTAATTTGTGCAATGAAGGTCAGTAATTATTTCAGTCAGTTAGAAACAATTTAGAACTT